GCTTAACAGAATTCACAGTCGTCTAGTGGTTCGAATTGCTGCAGCTGACCCCTATCATCCTCTTCGTAGGCGTTGGAACACTAGCCGCATGTGCTGGATCCGTCAAAGAATCTCGCCAGAACTTTCCGTGGTCGTCATCCCGTGAAGAAAAGCTCATCGAAGTTGGTGCAGTAGGTAGACTCCTGGGATCAAATCCCTTCAAATAGTGGCAGGCTACATGAACTACTCTTGACTTGTTCGTATTCTCAGACGGGGCTCTAATAGACGACCGAGCAGGTGCGGGCTATGTCATCTACCGAGGTCTTACGCAAGAGATTGGACGAGGATCACTCCCGCTCGGAAACTCGGCAGAAGTGTATGATGCAGAAATTACCGGGGCCACTAAAGGTCTTGCCGCAGCTCTTCGCAACCCACTGGCCTATTATGGCTCTAACGTTACTGTCTGCCTCGACAATCAGGAGGCTGCCATCCGTCTACTCTTGGATACGCCCACGGCGTCTAGCTCAGCGAAAATCTTTCTCTTTCGCAAGCTCGTAATGAACTGGAAAAGAAGATCACGCGGCCAAAATACGTCGCCTGAGGAAGTAGCTGTTCGATGGTGGTCAGGCCATGCAGGTATTGTTGGAAACGAAGTTGCCGACGCTCTCACTAGAACCGCCTGTGCGGCTCCAGCTCCACACTCAGAACTCTCTATTGCGAGGGCAAGTAGAGAATTCAAAGCCCAATACGAGGGTTCAGTCGCACTATATTGGGCAGATAATGCACCTTCTAGATACAAAAAATTAGGTATTGGTCCTAATACTAAGATCGCCATCGAGCTCGCTCGTCTTGGGCGACGCACACTGGGATATCTATGAGCTGCACGTTCTGGACATGGAGATTTTGCAGACTACCATCGACGGTTTCAGCATGAAAACGTCATTCTAACCTGCACATGCGGAGAAGTCCCCTAACCGCTTTTTCTATTGCCACCTCGGGCAATACCAAGCTCAGCTCCACAGGGCACAGAACTCTAATCCCAGCGCATCCTGGGCACTTGCTTCGGCGGAGGGAGTTGATGCATTCAGTAATTAGGTGCGTGTCACAAATTTCTTCGAAAGGGCCCAACGAAAAGTCCGACTCGAACGAAATCACGATCTGATGTAAACAATTTTCTCCTTTTTTTTCTTTTTTTTTTGTAGCATATTTTCTTGATTTAGTACCAACTGCATAGCATGAGATTCGTTGGACGGACGACCTTTTTTTTTGCATCAGATTTTAATTGCGTATGCAGCTATCTAGCTATGACATAATATCTAAGAAAAGTACAGAAAAGATGCCTCAGATTTAATTTGCAAGTACCACTGCGAAGTTATGGTAGCTTTTTTTTCACCCCAAGTCAACCTTCATCCGTGAATACCCACCCAGGGGAACGTCTCAAAAACCCTGAGTTATCCAGACATGCCTCTGTCATCCATCAACTTTTCTCCGCGCGAAATATAATCTGAAATGTCTCCTTCCCAAGTGGAGTAGGTGTCCAGGCTACTCAAACTATACCAGATAACATCACCAGGAGGCGGACCACGGCACCTTCCATCGTTTGCTCTTTTTTTTTAAATCATTTAATGTGTATGCAGCTATAGAGCTATGACATATGAACGGTGCTTTGTTTACATGATGGATGACTCTTTTGACTTTAGAGACACTCATACTCTGGATTTCATTCGCAAATACCACTATGGGGTATGTTCGCTTACACAAACAGTCGACCCTCCTCCGTAAGTACCCACCAAAGGGACATTTCAAAACCTTTGGTTGTCCAAGCATGCCTTCATCATCCATGCATACCAGCGCCGCCAGAAATATGGTTGTGTTTTGCCGGATTTGAACAAGTGATCTACAGTCTCGAGTAGGATATGTATCCAAGCTATCCTGACTCTACTTGGCAGACCGACCAAGATGATGTACCACCGCACCATCCAACCATGGCGGTGTTTATAGTGTCGCCTGCAATCTCGCAACCGAAAGCTTGGCACGCACAAAGCTTAATTTGTAAAAAATCCATGCCGAAGTTCGAAATTTCACGCACGTCGAGACCGTATCCATCCTTCGCATCATCTTGTGAACTTGTCCTAAATCCCCTCACGCCAATCCCAGAGAACTTTCTCCCAGACTTGTGCGCCACGATTTGCTTCCTCCGTCGGGTATGAATATCGGCGCGGGCGTGTATTTGGTGACCGGCTGAGGCCAGAGAAAGTCGACGAGAGGTGTGGTCATTAGAATAAAGATGCACTAGGTCGTACTTGTAGACTTGATGAGGCTTAGGTAAGAATCAGACTCTTTGGGAGTGAAGATTAGATGTGGTGGAGTAGTTTGAATCATTGCCTCGTGGGCCGACTTGTTCGGTATTGCGAAATGGGACTGAACTTGGCTCTGGGAGAATATTTCACTCCCAGGTTCGAAGAGGACACCGCGTACAGGTGTTCAGTCTAGCCCTTCGCTGGAGGTTCCTAGGGGACATCGCCGGAAGGTGTTGATTTATCATCCCCTTGAGACCTTTGTACCTTGCATCTTTGGGGGCTTCGTTCAACCACTGCTGGGAAGCGTAGATTATGTATGTATTATCGGCCCTATGAAATCTATAGCAATGAGGCGACCGAGAATCCAAATCAAAGAATTTAATTGTATTCAACAAATTTGCACTCAAATTGTTCCAAGCATTCATCTCACTGATTTCGTGGGTCAAGCTCTGATAAGTTGGGTAAGAAAGATTAGTTATTATTCTAAGATTCTTTACATACCAAATTTTCACTTCTAACCGCAGGATCACAAGCCTGGCCTGTTGTCGCGACTGCCGTGTGGACTATCGGAGGTGTACTTTTGAGAGGAACAAGAAAACTCTGCTTAAATATTGAGAAGATGATGAAATATCGGATCATTGAGATCCTGGCAAGAGATTGAAGTTCTTATGTACTAGTACTGCCAGATATAATGATTTCACTATCCGTAGTTTTTAACACTCTTCCTCTTGCAAGGGTTGGTTCTGTTTAAGGTGAGCTGTACGTTATTTTTATATATTTATTTTATTGTCCTCTTTGCCTACAGGCCAAGGATACATATGCCAGTAGTATGTCCCCTACTATGCCTCCTATACAGCTCCCCTCAAATCGTACCAATCCTCACAAGTCCTCGTTCAATCATACACTTAGAGGAGCCCTTTGCACTTCATTATCTCCCATTTCCAGCCAACGAAACGATGGCTGTCGGAATACTCGGGTGGTGTTTATATCACATGCATTCTGTAGCAGTCATAAAAATTGGTGGTCAACATATATCTTCATTCTTTCTATCTAAAGGAAACACGTATATACAGTAGTTATCCCTCTCTTAACGTCATTCCTAAACAGGGGACTCATTACTCATCAACATACCTAGTCATCATTTCTAAGGTAATATTTGAAGGGTCATTAAGTCATCAGGTCATACGGCAATGGCCATTTGCGGGTGTATGGCAGCCGGGAAAAATCGCAAAAACCACTAGGTGCGGAGCTCTTCTAATACCGACATTAGGACTAAATCCGAAGACATAGTGATCCTTCCGAAGCGTTCGAAGAGGCCGGCCAGCTAGGCGCTGCAGACTTATGTGTACTTCGGAAGATTCACTCTCTGCCTTTCTAGCCTCCTTCCAAATCTTTCCCAAAGGTCGTGCTGAAATGTCAAAAAAGTCTTGACAGAACGTGATTGCTGAATGGTAGCTTAGCCAAAATCTTGGTCTTGGCGCCCACAAAAACTTTAAAGTTGAAAACCTTCGAGAATGTCAGGCCCAATATGGTCTTCGGAGGCCTCTCCCCCCTCCCGCTCCACATCTCAGCCACCTGTACCTCTTTAAGATGTATAACTCCATTAGAGCTACAGTCCCACATAAGCTAGGACCCAGGCTTTTTATATCTCGACTTAATTTCCTTCTTGCGGGTATAAAAAGAGTCTTAAATTTACAGTGGGAGACGGCTAGTAATTGATGGGGCAGGCTGCCGTTTGAAATTGGAGCAACTTCTTTGTCGGTCGTTGAGGTGAGATAATGTGTGGTTAGAAAAAGGTTAAGTTCTCAGATTATAATGTTTTGAGCCACATTGAGGTCGTCAGTTAAGCGATGCTTGTGTTTACTTTCGATTTCGATCCGGTTGCGATTCATCTTGGCTACCCTTAATATGCAAATCTTAAACATTGCACTGGCGCCACTAGAAGGTGAAGAATTCCTCTTTGCCGGAGAGCGGAGCTATATAGGAGGAATGGAAGGGATTGTACTATTATTGAGTTATCCTTGGCCAGTAGGCAGAGAGAATTTGCATGTCCAACTTACTCTCTAATTGAGAAGGGATATTGACAGAACTAATAAATAGACTTCCATAGAAGTAACTTTCACTTGAGGCGAATCTATCATATTACCTTTCATAGACGTGACCTATATACGGAGATTTAATACTTCGAAGATTCCCTCGTAAAATTGATATTAGCATGTGCGTTAGTCTTAGGTCGGGAGTTGTGTGCGAGATCTACTTTTGGACTTGGTCCGTACCATGATGCAGGTGTTCGTAGTACGGTGGTCTATTTACCGAACGTGGACCATGGAAGATTCGTCACATCAAGAGGCTACGCAGTCACGTTTCTACATATTTGTTTATCTTAATTCTCAAGAAATTAACAATAATGAGGTATAATTGTATCAACACGTGTGGTTACTTTTTACGAGCCTGAATCAACCTTCTTTTCCCTCAGGCGCTTTGTTGATTCGATCTGTTCACTACCGCGAACTCTCTCTCCACTAGCATAGGCAATTTTTAATGAGCGAGAGCTCCTAAAATATTAGTGACACGGTGAGTCATCTGCTATATAGCCCAATATCTCCTAGAGCTATTCGTAGATGTAGACAGGAAGAGGTACAGGCATAAATTAAAATTACATTTGTCATTTGAATCTCGTACCCAAATTTGAGGTGGAGAAAGGCGAAAGTTTCCCAGTTCTTAACTTGCCATATATGTTGTCGCGTCGACTCCGTCTGCTGGAAAAGCCCTGTGCATTGGTCAGTTTGCATTCGTTTTGGGATGAGGATGCTGTTACTAACGGGAGTGCAACTTCGAATCGCTTTTCAATCGACTTCAGGACCTCCTCGTCGGCTTCACTGCTCACAAAAGAGATGGATAGACCTTTAGTTCCAAACCGACCGGCCCGACCAACACGGTGAAGATAGGAATCGGCATCACCAGGAAGATCGTAGTTGATAGCGAGGTTGATACGTTCGATATCAATTCCGCGTCCGAATACGTCTGTTGCAACGCAGATACGCTCTTGAAAATCTTTAAAAGCTTTATAACGTTTAATACTATTGTTTCGTGAGAATTGTGTATAAATTGAACTTCATTTTTTCTCACCGTTCTTCTTGGCTGACACCAGAATGAACTGCGACAGAAGGAAAATTACAACTCCGTAGGAGTTTATCAAGCTCAGTGGCTCGTATGGTGCTCTTAACAAATATAATTGCTTGATTAAATTGTAGCTCATCAAGGAGTTCATTGAGCTTCCTGTTTTTCTCCTTTTCCGCAAGCTTCACGTAGTATTGCTGAAGGCCATGAAGAGTCAGCTTGGTCTCGTCATCAACATAGATCTCTAGGGGATTCTGCATAAACTTTTTGCAGATAGGTCGGACGTCAGGGGAAAGCGTGGCACTAAACATCATCACTTGTTTTTGTGTGGGAGTGGCGCGAAATATTTCCTGAACGTCGCGACGCATGTCTATGTTTTATTAGCAATTATTACCTTCGGTGTACCGGGAGCATACCAATCTGGTCAAGCATTTTATCACACTCATCAAGAACAAAAACTTTGCAGCTGCCGAGTCTTAAATATTTATCTCGCACGAGTGCGTTAAGTCGACCTGGGGTAGCGACTATGATATGTGGATGTGTGTCTTTATTCTTTAAGACTTCGGCATCTTTTTGTATGGGTGTTCCACCGTAGAAGACGCCAGTCTTGACATCAGGCATGTACTTGCTGAATCTTGTATACTCATTCTTGATTTGATACGCTAATTCTCGAGTGTGACACATAATTAATACCGAAGTCTCTCCTGCTACGGGTTCAACTTGTTGGAGAGTTGTGAGAACGAAAACGGCTGTTTTTCCGAGACCGGACTTGGCCTGGCACAGAACGTCGGTTCCGAGGATCGCTTGAGGGATGCATACTTGCTGGACTGTACATAGATAGGACCGATGTTAGATGAAAACTTTTTTCCAAGATTTATACTGATGTGCAAAGATTCGCAGCGTCCGTCCATCATCGCATCTTAACCGTTAGATAGGACTTCCCTGACAAACTATAGGGAGCAAAAACATAATGCATGTCAATCAGAATTGACGTTGAGAAACAGGAGTAAAAGGGAATATTTAAATGCCAGCAGTTGTTGTTTTCGATCTGATCCTGGATGTCTCTTGTCTCTGCAGTTCCTGCCCTTAGATACTTTTCATATCACCTCGCAAGAATCTTGCTCTGGAGCTTGTCCTCCTTTATTTATTTGCGGTGCTCGGCCTGCCAAGAGAGACATCCCAGGATCAATCGAGACTTTCAAAGAGGCCGGAGCTTTTCATCTTGCTTGCGAGATGGACGGACGCGGCAGGGACAAGAATAATGGAGCTTAGGGATGAGATTAAAGACTGACCCTCCGAAGGATGTTCGAACCCGCAATCTGTTATGGCACGTAGAAGCTCTGGTTTGAGAAGAAAGTCGCGAAATCCGGTAGAGTGGATACCAACGTACGATCCTTTTTTGTCTGAGTTGCCTCCTGAAACAGTCAGATCTCCCTTTTTAGTGCCGCCGTTTGAGACATTTGTGACTGCCTGGGCCGACTCATTAGTTCCGAGCTCCTCGTCGGAATAATCGATGAGATCTTCCTCGTTAGACATCGTTGCAATGAGGTGTTGATGTACTTTTTTCCTGACGCGATAGCAATCTCGATATCAAGAAGTTATCGAAAAATTGGCCTCAGATATTTTAATTCTAGTTAAGATCGGGAATACAATGGATTTAGTTGAAAATATTACACTGAGAACGAGATGTCGCTTGAATAATGATTGTCGACACTTTGACAGATTAAAGTAGGAGACGAAGTGAGGAGGTATAATAATCAAAATAATAGCTTATTCGTCTAAGCGCAGCTAAAACTTTCTAAGGAATTGCGCTAAGCCTAAAGCGCATGTTCAGGATAACAAAGTCGACCATGGGTGCATGGGCACGGTTACTTCTTTTGATAATTATCCACCATGTTCCCACTTAGGAGTAAAATAGAGAATTTATGAATAAACATAGCCACATATTAATTTAGCATTGTAAATTTATGCAAGCAGAACTAAAAGTTCTAAGCCGCATTCACCATATAGACCATTTTTTGAAACGATCTGGAGAAATCTAAAGCATGATGTTACATGCCAACCGGGTATTACATTCGTGAGGATTGCAGTGCATTTTGGCAACAATTCCCGAATACGACAAATTACGGATCGCTTTATAAAAACCCTTTGAAATTTTATCTATGCTGGATAACCAGACTTACGAGTTGATCAAGGATGCTCGATAATCCTACCCCGACAACTGCATAAAACTTTACTAAGAAGCATACCTTGTCAAGGAAAACTTGCCTACAGTCTACCCTTGCCGTGGTGTAAAAAAAGTGGCAAAAGAGGTCCTTAAACTTCCACTGTAATATCCCTGCTAGTAACAAATGCGCACTCCACAGTGAAACCTACGTTATGGCAAGTCAACTCCGAAGATCTATTCTAAAATCAGAGCTATCATCAAACAACTTTCCATCGATATACAACATAATCTATCGCCCAAAGCAGTCTAGCGATTCAAATACGAAGTGAGCACATGGGGCTTAACTCGAATTTATATGGAAGAAAAGTACCCGGAGTCTTCAGTCCAAGCTGTTCATGTGGCTACCAATCGCAGAACCCCATGCACATGATTATGTCCTGCCCTCGATGGTCAAATGGATGAGGAGAGATCTGGAGACAAGCGAAATATTGGTCCTACGAAGCAATGATGAACAATCCTGGAGACATCAAAAGGATAACACAGTGGATCCTAAACCATGGTTGGATAGAACAATTTCAAATGACAAAGGCGATCGAAGTGCTGCTGAGGGAAAGGAACAGGTCATGTCTTTCTTGAGGTCGATAAAGTTGATGTGATTGGGTTAAATGGAGGGTACTATAGTGTAACTGCGCTTCCTAAAGGATACATTAGAAAAACATAGAAATTGAACATGAAGGTTTGGGAGGTTTTCACCAAAAGGTTTCCTCTCATGTAAATTAGAAAGTATGATAAACACCTCGATGGGCCCATAAAGCGCCAAACCAGGATAACGAAATCAATTTCAAACATATCTTATCATAGAATTCATTTATATCAAGGTCTTCACTAGGTTCAAAGTTAAGAAGTGCTTCTAGAAGCTATTTTTACTGCTTCTAATTTAATGGATGTCGTTCAATTCCCAAACACAAGTGATCAATTCCTAAGAGAGCAGATAATAAGTATAGAATTTTTTTGGATCTAATATCAGCGATGCTAGAAAATAATTATACGGATAAAAAATCAATCCAAACACTTTGTAGAAATTTGGTGTCTTCTGAACCACCACTTTTTCCTTCCCTAACACAATATTTTAGCAAAAGGAAAACGGAGGCTAAAAACCTGTCAATAGTATCAATTACGAACTATGGGCTGAAATATTTCTTCAGAACCGAAGTATTTAACGAGAAGAGGTGAATTTAAGCGTTTTTGTCGAGATAGCGATCGGGAGGATTACTCCACTTGGGAAGGAGACACCTAAGACCACATTTCGCGCGGAGAAATGTGAACGGATGGAGGCGTGTCTGGATAACTCAGGGGTATTGAAACGTTCCACTGGGTGGGTATTCATGGATGAGGGCTGACTTGGGGTGAAGAAAAAGCCACCCTAACTTCGCAGTGGTACTTGCAAATGAAATCCGAGGCATGAGTACTCTTCTTGTAAAAAAGTCATCTTTTCTGCAATTTTCTTTGATATTGTATCATAGCTAGATAGCTGCATACGCAATTAAAATCTGATGCAAAAAAAATATTGGGAGGAGCGGCGTTGGCAAGATTCTGGTCGAAAATCTGACTAGCAGAGATTTCACGGCTGCATAGGCCAAAGACATCAATCATCTATACCTCATATACAAACCACAGGCAGGCACAGACCTGTGTGTGACTCGTATTAAATTAACTGGTACTCTTCACTATCTCGAATTCTCTAGATCTTGCCCAGCTCAGTAAATCTTGCGAAATACCGAAGCTGTCCAAAATCAAAAAGTGATACTTGCAGTCTGAGATATCCGAGTGCACAAAACCCGCCGTAATTGTCGTGCGCTATTTAGGTACGGTTGAAATACCGGTCTTACGTTCGGATTTACCTCGACCAAAGGTACCAAAAGCTCGACCTGTAAAGAGTCGCTACCAACGGAACATGTACGAAATTTTGCCAGACACATCGCAGAGTACTCATTAAGGGGGTGCATTGTTACCTCGACTCGGAGCACTTCGCCCCATATTTGGTCTACGCGGTTAGGTGTTCGGCAGTGACTGAAAAACGTCGGAGGGATGGAAAATCTACAAAATTTATAAGATTATGATAACGACTGAAAGGTTAAGTGAAGCTATAGCTAGGGAATAAAGATAGGAAAAAGAGAGAAAACCTTGGTAGGTGAAAAGATGCGGCTTCGACAAAGAAAGCGGCCTCTGGATGAGATGAAAAGATACCGGGGTAATATAAGGCTGGGTACAAACGACAAGGAAATTTCTAAGAGTGGAGAAGTGTCAGGAACTCGTGTTTAGACTCCACTGAGAGTGTGGATAGCGTAAGTTGCCTAGCACGTTGATATACAACCAAAATGTTATCTTGAAGTTTTACCGTTCTGTTTAGTAATCTACGCGATCGTTTATCTCACGTGGTTGTTCCATTGTGGCTTCTGGTGTAGACCACTACACCATCTGGATATAAATCCCGGTCCGCATGCTAATGCCCTACCCAACCAATCTAAACAAGAAGAAAAAAAGAGGCTTTACCAAGAAATTTGGATAAATCCCAAGTGCATTGCAGCACATAAAGGCAACTAAACTGGAAACGACAGAAAGTTTATTGTTAGAGCGGATATAAAAAGGGAGCGTTTGGGTTAGAATTAAATGTAATAAATGTATCACAGCTAGATAGCTGAATACATTATGAATTTAAAAAAAGAACCAATTCAAGGTCTCAACTCAGGCGAGACGATAGTAAGTCATAGATTCATATTCCGTCCAAAGCAGATCAAAGCTAGAAAAAATACCTTCAAAATTTGGAAAAGGACAGTTGATTTTGTCAGTTGAGACGACTATTGCAGAGTGAGAAGACTTTCACCCTCCAGACGTCCCTGTGTATTCGCGCATTGTGCTCTGTATATCTAGGATAGGCAAGAGGAATCGCATCCGAATTGAAGTCGAAAGCAAACACATACATGTCTAGAATCGACCACCTCTCATCAATATCGGTCCTCTTATTCTCTCCGGAGTCCTCAATCTTAATCTTACCATAAATCACTACGCTTCAACAACCAATCAAGGAGCCGCTCAATTTACAAATAGGAGCTTGCCTCACAATTAACCGGTTATCTTCTTCTGTCAAATTACGATGCTACGTACATCCGCGAAGAGGAAACTAAGTCATGATTTACAAAGCTCTTGGTCTAAGAAAGGCCATTGTTTTAGTGGGACTTCACATCTTGAGGGAGGACAGGCGGCCGACATTTGGGACGAGCGACAGAAAAGTCACAAATGGACATGCTGGGACGCATATTTTTTGAGTGCTTTCAACTTGGGGATGCTGCTAGGCTCAGAGACTACGATTTGGATAGTGCTACCGACACTTGAAAACAGGCTATGATTGAAGCTTTGGTGCTCCACTTTCTGGTCGTCATCTCCCCAAGTTAGAGGCTGGGTAGCCTGGACGCCCACTTCACTCAAGAAATGGAGGACTGTGAGGCCTTACCTCGGGCGATAGATATATACAGGATAGGAAAGACATGTTAGGGTAGCAAAAGGGTTTTCCTGTTTTCCCTTTGGTGAATATTCACGGTCGAGGGAAGGGTGAAAGTTCTTAGCGGAAAGGTCTCGAGTAGTATCGGCGAATGCACCCACTACTTGAGTGATCCAAATTTCAAACTGAGTTATCATCACATATAGTCGTCGGAGAAGGACTCGCCTTCTACGTGTCATACTCTATGAGTGATAGGCTTGTGACAGTCACAAATAAAAATTTATCTTGATATTACCTTTTATTGATGACTAGCTATGTTGACGGGTAATGGGGTACCTGTCTAGGAATGGCGTTAGGAGAGAGTAATAGTAACCGTTTATATGTGTTGCTTGTAAAAATGAACAAGATTCAAACCAAATGTTAACCTTAGATTATTATTACTACTATGGCAACGTTGTAATGTCAAAATCAACCTGGATATTCCGGCAGACGAAATTCAACACCTTTCGTCGGTATCCCCTAGGAACCTCCAGCTTTCACTACAGAGTTTGCAAAGCCGAGTTTGACTAACACCTTCCTCCTCACTTCGATGGGGATTCCCAACCGCTCTCACAGTCTATATCGTCTTCATCAATCTGAAGACCCCAGTTCCACTATTTTCATGAAGTTAACCACTATCAGGTCAAACGGCGGGCTGTAGCCCTTCTCATCACCAACCCCTGATCATGGTGAAGAATTCATCCGATGAGTTTCCGGAGCCTACCCAGCACCCGATATGGCGATGGTAAATTTGATCGAGTTGGCCTCTAATATTACAGAAAAGAGATATAGATGGGTATGCGAACCACGTGCGGCTCCGGTGTCTAGGACTCGCCTGGACAGGGCTGCAGGCTTTTTGAGAATTTTTACATGTTTTGGGGGAGAAGGTTCCGTGGAGAAGATGGCCGAGTTCCACGGGTAAAAACCGAGCTGAATGGCTATTCATCAAGGACAATATATCGACGATCTCTAAAATCACAAGAGGATAGGAGCACTGTATAAGGTATGGCCTGGGTCAGATAGCAGCTCAATTTGCTCGATAGTCATCGACCAACTTAGCACAATAAACACACTCCCAACTCTGAATTTCATTTGGAAATAACTCGGCGAGATATGTTTGCTTAAGCAGAGCAGTAGAACTTCCTCCATGAGTACACACCTAAGGGAATCTACAAGACCTTTGGCTATTTACACATTCCCTTGCCAGCAATGTACACTGGCACCGCGAGAAATGGGTGGTAATACTTCTGGATTCGAATCAACCGTCCACTGCCTCAAGTGGGATAGTTCTTCACGATATCCACTGTAAATCTGAGTGAACATTATGAGTGAACTAACACTACAATTTCCAACTATGACAATGTCTATGTTATCGCTTGAGCCCTCGTAAACTGCGAGGGAGAAAGAGAGGTGTGTTTGTTGTACTAAATGAGTCTTAGACTATCTAGCACATTGGGCCCCTCTCTGACCCAGGCCACACCTTGTACAGTGCTCCTTGCCTCTTTTTTTACCTGAAAGATCACTGATATATTCCCCTTGATAAGAAGCCGTTCAGCTCAGTGTTTACCCGTGAAATTCAGCCGCCTTTTCCACGGAACCTTCTACCCCCAAAAAAATGGTAGCTAGGGAAACTGCTTGCGCGGGAAAAAGTCTCAAAAAACCTGCAGCCCCAGCCAGGAGAGGCCTAGACACCGGGACCACATGAGGTGCGCACATTCATCTATATCTCCCTTCTGTAACATTTGAGGTCGACTTGATCCAATCCGCCATCTCCGTATCGGGTGCTGGGTACCGTCCGGAAACTCATCGAATGGCTTCTCCTCCATGATCAAGGGTTGGTGATGAGCTGGGCTCCGACCCTATCATCTGATCTGATCGTGGTTAGCTTCATAATAATGGTGATAGGGGAATGTGTTGAGGGATGAAGACGATACAGACCGCGCAAGCGATTGGGGATCCTCATCAAAGTGAGGACTTTTTTGCTCAATCTCGGCTCTGCAGACTCTAAGGTGAGAGCTGGAGGTTCGTAGGGAACAACACTGACAGGAGTTGAGAATAGTCCCCCCTCGCAAACCGAGTCAAGGTATGCAAAATGCTCTATTGTGGAAGCCTCATCAGATCCGAAATTTTGATTCTTTTTAATGTGTTTATCTTTTGAATTATCAAGTTAATCTGCTCTAACTTCTATCTCATATTTTTTAAAATTCTAACTTATCGTGTTTACACCTTGCTTTCTATGATCTTTGATATTTGAAGATTCGTAGGCGAATATTTGAAAATTATCTAGTCAAAAATTGAGGTTCGAGTAGTTGTAGTCAATGTAATGAGTATTTTCTTGGACTTGCGCGTTGACTTGAAGTTATGTCAACAGTCTATAATTTTATAAATCTTGAATCTTTGCATCACGAATCAGCTTCTTCTGCGCATAGAAAATTGATTAAAATTAGCCTGGAAGAATATTTTACCCCCAATTTCGTAGAGGTTACCGTTAATAAGTTTTTAGACTTCGTCCTATTGAATAAAGCGTCGTTTAGATGAGACCCATGGTATTTTAATTCGCGCAATAAATACATGGGCTAATGTAAAGCTCCTTTGTGTTAAAATAATACTGAATTCCGGCATTTTTCGCTCTAACTGCATAATATAATCTCGGCTTAATCCTAATTTCCTATCTTGATATCCCTTGCCTACTTACTAGGGAACCAAGAGAAAAGAATTATGTGTCTCTGACAGAGTTCTCATACTAGCATCTGCAGTATGGTAAGATCAAAAAGTCCAATGAGATTTGGAGAGGGGATGGTAGGGTTTGTCATGATTTAATAGAAGATATACCCGTCCATGGAGGTAATTAGGATCAGGCTTTGTCGAAGCAGTGGAGGAAGATAGATGAAATCTTTAAATGATTTCTTTCCTGAAAAGCCGCATCTGTATTGCAAAATTTGGTTCAATATTTAATATTGAGAGTCTCTTATCAGGAGTTTGTTAGAAGACTAACGAATGGTCTTGTAATTTTGATCCTGCTGACTTCCATTGCCTAGCGCGCATAAGCGAATAATAAAATATTTGGTTTCACGTTTCATTAGCGTAAATATTTCGATGCAACAGACCTCGATTCATCGTCAGGTGTAAAAATTCCAGTTCTCAAGCGAAAGACAAGTCGGCATAATCCAGCTTATTTTCAATTAAAGGAATATGGCAAAAGCTAAACCTTGTAAACCTGTCAGTGTACCTAACAAAGCTCTATACAGTAGGGTTTCCTACCTTTACCAAGCGTCGGTTTACTTAGCCACACAAAGCCTCCACCAAAACACACCGACATCAGCGGAGCCAGAGAATAAATCTATGAACGTAGACAGTGGTGTAAACTTGTCGGAGAAGCCAGAAACTTCACTCGGTTCTATGAATACACTATCTCGTCGTCTGGTACGTGATCTAAGAAGTATCACTTTGAAAGCTCAAATTCGCATGTCACCCTCACTTAAGCACACTCTCTGTAAAGGTTGTAATACTGTTCTCATTGATGGGCTGAGCTGCGTGAATGAGATAGAAAACCTCAGTCGGGGTGGTCGTAAGCCTTGGGCCGACAACTTAGTTCGGAAATGCAATACATGTCAAACTATACAGAGATTTCCTCTTGCATCAAAGAAACAAAAAAGGCGTTCTGTAAGGATTATCAACCAAGCCGATACTATGACAGCATCGAAAGAAAATGAGCTTTGAATCAAGAAACAAATGCGTCTGCTAGTCGTTAATTCCTCAGGGAATTCTAACTCTAAAATATCATTCATTTGAGGTGAGGGTCTTGCAATTCCTGGTCTGCATGACAAGCTATCATGCCAAGAAAACAAATTTGACAATAACTGCCTACGCATCTTGGTATGCATGATAATACCTAGAATTGCGAAGTATGTTCTAAGGTATTTAGTAGATCTCTAAATCATCTTGATAATTATTTATATATTCAGATTTTTAGAAAAGCACCAAACTTAAAATTTAGTTAATTTTTTGGTTGGGTACAGCAGTAAATCTACCTGAAAGAAATTAATGCAGTCATACAAAATTTGCTATTTTTATTGATAGCGATCTGGCTATGACTTTTATCGTGGTAGCCTGAGAGTTCTCTCACCAACACTCCAACCAAACTTTGCGGCTGCGAAGATTAATTCTCCAAAACTATAAATATTTTGTCACGAGTAGCCTAAAATATCACGTGGCTTTAAGAAATATCCTTAGCTAGCAAGCACAAAAATTACTTATTCTCCATAAATATTGAGCTCATTTGTCGCCTCCGCATATAGCTCAACTATCATAAATAATACAGAATCTTCTATTTTGCTGTTGCCTCATTGTTAACCTGTTCATATCATACTGAAACTCCCTCACATCTAGAAGATGGCTGATTCAAGTTCCTCAAGCCTCCTGAAGGGTCAAATAGCCTCAGACCACAGCCCGAGTGGAAAAAAGTAAATCGATGATGGAAGTACGTCTGGATAATTCGGGGCTTTTGAGAATTTTCCCTGCGTGGGCATTGCCGGGCTAGAGCTAACATGTGCTGAAAAAAAGTCGCCATAACTTAGCAGTGGTACTTGCAATTAAATATGAGGCATGAATGCTATTCTATTAATTTGAGTCATCAATTATGCACTTATTCTCCGATATTGCGTAGATGGGAAGCTGCATTCGCAGTTAAAATCTAAAGCAAAAAAATTAAGCAAACAATCCCTGATAAATCTTCCGATAACAAACTTACTATTCACAGAATAGTCTTTACGAGCGCTCAAGATGTTAAAGACACTCTGAATATTAAACTAGGAAGATCGAGATATGAATGCTCACGCATCGACTCAAGAGTATTGTTGAGATGTCTCCTGTTCCGAAATTACGGAGTTTAAACTAGCTAGACTGGAATGAATCGTTAAGGTAGCTCATATTTTCATCACGAAACTTAGCGGTATTCTTTAATAGTCCTCCTCACGACAAAGCGATGATAATGTAGTCAACTTTGTCAGCGTCTAAGCTCAGAAATTCTGCAACACATCTACCAACCGTACCACATAATTTTACGAGAAAATTTTATTCTGAAACAGTACTGTCATCTCAGACTACAAAACAGCACCGCTGAACAGCATTCCTCCTTGTAGGCGCAAAATTCTTGTTCTGTGCATATATCCCGCGAATGCTATCACGCGCTCGGTGGAGCACGTGAAGTTCAGGTCATCACTTCTAACTATAAATGAGTAAGCTATTATGGTTGTCGTCGCTGGAAGACAATAATTTATAGCTAAATCAGCTGTAATAGACTTAGATGAGTATTTGGACTTAGAATCAGAAATTGACAACCTTCCTTTCTCAATATTTGCGACTAGGGTTCCGACTAATTATCGCAAGCCCTTTGTTTCAGAAACCTAAAGGACAAATACTGTTCAAGGTCTCTATAGTTCTTTAAACATGGTCTCCAAAACCAATGCTGAATATTTTCTGGAGTCACTGAATAGTTCAGCACGGCGCTTTATTCGCCACCCATTGACGATCATGACCAATGATATCGGTGCATCATTGTTGGCATATCAGAATACCAGTGCATAGCACCTACGCGCTTTTCCTCCGGCTATCTAAGTAGATTTGAAAGCCATTTTGATGCATAGCGCTGCTCGGAATATTGATGGCTTTTCAGCTCTTGAGTAGTCAATTACTACTCCTCAACCCAATGCTATTGCAAAAACAGCGTCTCTACCTGCTCCTGTAACTGCCTTATCCCACGCAAATATGATAAAAAAAGGCCTGCATTCCCGAAACCAGCCATGTAAGGTCGCAGAGAAAGCTACACCTGCTATGGTAAAGCTCAGGCTTAATTCGAGAGTTATAGTCCGCCGAGCACCGGACAACGCTCTTCACGAAGACGCTATACTCGTACGCATGAAGCTGAGAAGTCCGCTAGAAATTCCAGAGCTAATCGAAGATATCGTTTTGGTCCCATCTTGCATCGCTCTAGTAGCTCCCTCCTCGGAACAGGCTCCAGAACTCCTTCAAGCAGCTATAGCTCCGCAGCCTTTGACAGGAATTGTTCCGATTGAAAGGCAGGAAAACAAGCAAACTTTCATCTCAATCCAGTTTCGGAATATGGGTATAAATCATTCGGAATCCCTAAGGCTCCATTCGTTGCTTAAATCCAGCAGGAGCTAGAAGCCGCCAAAATTGATACCGGCTCGATATCCTCCATCCTATGGACTCGCCGCTCGCAAGAATATCTGGCCTTGGAAGGAAAATTTCGACCAAAAATCTCTCAACTTTTTCAGAAAGTTTCTAACAAACTTCCGACTCTGTGACACCTAGCTGATCAAGTCGAAGAAAGGCTCGGAAATGAATCCTCAAAGCATAAGATCTAAAGGTTACGATAAAAGTCTGGGTGTGCTGCCCTCTAATCTGCAACTGTTCTTGGCTCCTTGTGACGTCCCGTTCCAGAGAGCCACAAAGATAGATGGATATGCCCCAGGCATTTCATATTGTATTATTGAGGATTACTAGTTGCTTGTCATCAAGGGAGGCTTAGTGTTTAGCTATTATCATTTCATAGGGGTTTAATTTTAACTTAGTAGTTGTTAGCCTGAGGAGCCAAGATGTAACAGCACGGCATTCTGCCATGTCATTACATATATCAGGTGACCAAGAAGTTATGCTGGGTGAGGAACCAATATGTGAGAGGAGATAAGATAAGGTCACGCAACCCTGGGAAGCGAGAGCACACACACAAAAGCTCGCAGATTCTATTATCATTAGACTTTCTTTCTTTTTTCTTTGTCTTAGTATTCGCTCAATAGATTGAATATATAGTTATACAAGCTGTACTCTCACTTGTGCTTATTCTACGCCGTGACACAAGAACAATTGCAGATTAGGGGGCAGCACACCAAGACTTTTATCGTTACCTTTAGATCTTATGCTTTGAGGATTCAATTCCGTGCCCTTCTTCAACTTAATCGCCTAGGTGTCACATTATTTAAAGGTCACCACTCTCCCTGGGAAGGTATTTATTAATATCCCACCTCTTCGTGAACCTACTTCGTGTCAACCTCTTGACAAAACTCGCGGCCAGTAGCTTCGTCCGGCAACCTTTCAGATTGATAGCTTGCCTACACCATTATTAACCAAGATGAATCGAACTCCTCCAAAAGTGCGTGAATCTGCAGTTGGACTGCATACACTGAGCTAGTTACATCTTCAAGAACGGACATTTGAGTCAAAAAAAAATATAGACTCAACTTCCAATGATCATCGTAATCCCTCCCTTGGTGACGGAAGACTTCTTTCTATGTCGAAACAGAATTCTGATATCAAGAATGAAGACAACACAGAGTAGGAGATTCCCAAGAGAAACATCACGCATCGTGATAAAAGCAGAAAATACCGTCCTAAATCAAGGTCGAGTGCAAGTTGTCATAGCCAAGTCCTTGAGGCCCAACCCGTTGATAACAGCACAGATATCTTACATGTCCCTCATCAAATGCAGGAAAAAATGAAGGACCAGGACAAGGAGAACAAAAATTTACGAGCCCAGCTGAAGAAGATTTAAGAAGAAAGATCCACATCTCGTACTCCACGTTCTCCAGGACAACGCCCATGTAACAACGCAATTGAAGAAGATAAAAGCGACTCGGACCATGTCCATAATTGATCCAGCAGAGCAACACTACCAAAAAAGACCCACCGAAGTTACCCTAAGATGTCTCAAGCTAGAAGGGTAGATATCCCACAAGGACTAGGGATACGACTTAGTAACGGTATTTCTCCAACTTATGACGCATGGGAGCACTTAATGCGTGCCAGTCTACGTACCTATAGCCATTGCTTTCAAGGCAGCCAATCTATAATCGATCACGTCTTTGCACAAACATTGGGAGAGGCGATGGTACACTTCACACAAAGAATGAGGTCTGATCACCCTCAAGTCTTCTTTAATGAAAAAAAAATGTTTGAATGGCTCGAAACTATTTTCAAGGACACTAATGAATGTGTGACAGCCCGGATTCAGTATGGCAGGTTTCGGATGTCGTCAAACTAAACTTTCAGCATATTCTACAGCAGCTTCTCTGCCCTTACTAATAGAGATCGTATCACGCAAGCTGATCAATTACAGGATATGTTTCGAAAATTCCATCCTGACCTCCATCAGTGTGACGGCTTGTAAGCCGGTAATTGCCTGTAGCCTGCGCTGTCTAACGCAGGCTTAGCATGAAACAAGGAGGGCCTTATAAGTGGCAATAATAATACTGTAACACGTCCGGGGATGGGGCACGAGAATGTGATACGAGTAGGGGATATGAGTAGGGAATACGAGTAAGGAATACGGATATACGGATAGAAATCTGTGTCATTGGCTGGGATAATAATCATGTATAAAGTAACTGTTATTATCCTCTTCAATCTGTAGTTCACCATAGATTGAAATTAAAACTACCTCTGACCATAAAGTTGCCCAAGTGCCTATGTTTAGACTGTGACAATCAGCAAGCAATAGATTTTATGGCGACCGAACCTGATTACTCATCAGCACTGAAGAGATTCAATTTCTATGATAATGAACTTGGAATCTGTTAAGAATCAGCATGAAAGCCTCTAGCGTAAGGCTAGCGTCTTGGCACTTGTATATAGATAAATCTCGTCTAGTATCCCATAATATAATATAACTGAATTCTATTTGACAGATTATGAGACCAAACTGT